AACCAATAATAAAAATAAAAAAAAAATTTGTTTGTTTGTTTGTTTGTTTTGTTTTTATATTGATATTACACAAAAATGTGAAGAAAAAAAAAAAAATTCGATTCCCTTTAAGGTGCAATAAAACTTTTTTTTGTTTAAAAACCTTTTTGTTGACAAAATTTTAATGTACCTTTATTTTGTTTAAATAAAATAAAGGGCGGATGTTTGTCATCTCACGGTTTTTTATTAATGGTATCCCCAAATTTCTCTTAATGTATATATTTTATTGATTTCTAACACTATCACCACCCCCCGCCATTTTGAAAAGGAAGTAATAAATTTATTTATTTTCTTTTTTTAAATTTATTTCCGCGAATTAAAGAATTCGATAGATCGATCGATCGATCGATTATTGATTCGTTGTGGTTTTGGTATTAAAAAAAAAAAAAACAAACGAAACGAAATAAAATGGCGGTTAAAGTTTTTAAACCTTTTAAATGTTTTAAAAAAAAATTAATTGGCCGGTAAAAAATATTAAATTTATTCACTTTTTATTAAATACATAAGAAACAAAAATAAATAAATTTAAATAATTATTAATGGAGATTTATTTATTTTGAGAGGAAAAAAACCGATTAAAATATTTTTTTAAATTTTCTATCTATTAAACTATATAAAGAAAAAACGACGATTTAAATAATAATAATAATAATGAAAATTTTTCGATGGAAAAGAACTTGATAAAAAAAATTTAAGAAAAATCCGATACGTATTAAAAGAAAAAAATCAATTTTAATAATAATCAATACGAAATCGATAAATTATAAAAAAAATTACTCTCATCGTGAAATTCAACAACAATAAAATTTTTCCCATGTGAGTAATTCATCTTTTCTATTTAAAAAAATGTCGAAAATAACGAATTTCGTCGGACGAATAAAAACAGAAAAAAAAAAAAAGGTGAGAAAGGTAAAAGTCTAGCGCGGAAGACATTTAAAAAAAAATTTTTTTTTTTTTTTTTGATAATGATAATAAAATAACGAAAAAAAAAAAAACGTGATATTAAACTAGGTCTTGAATGAACGCAACACACTCACATTGAGGAGCGAGAGCAATGAGAAAAAACAAAATGGCTGCTTAATTATGTGCTGGAGGCTACATTGGGCTCTTTTTCTTTTTTTACCTTGCATCTTGGATTCTTCCCCTCCAAGTGCCACGGTGATTAATAGCATCACGCTCTTGGCCTAACTTATGCCAATGGCCCCAAATTACATTAACAAAAAAAAAAAAAAAATCACAGGCACGAAATGCAACGAAATTTTTTTTATTATTTTAAATAATATAATAATTAAATGAAAAATAAAATTTTCTCCAGCCATTTTGTTTGACTCTACTGATGAAAATATTTTAAATTATTTCAATCAATAAAATAATTATAAATCTTTTATCCATGACCAAAAAAAAAAAAAAAAATTTCCCACGAAATTCTAATTAATAAAAAATTGACAATAATCTAATTGAAATTCTGGAGGGAGAGAGAGAGAGAGAGAGAGAGAGAGAGAGAGAGAGAGAGAGAGAGAGAGAGAGAGAGAGAGAGAGAGAGAGAGAGAACATAAAAAAAAAGGACAACACGAATTTTTCGAGTAATTTTATTGGTCCGTGAGTATTTTTAATTTTATAAAAAAAAAAAAATAATTTCTTAGAAAAAGAAAAAAAAAAATGTCGGCAAAGTTATTAAAAATAAAAGAAACTAACCAAATTACTAGGTGTTATGATAAAAACAATTTTTTCCTTTTTTTATTTCCTTTCTTTCCAGAGTGTGTGTGTGTGTGTTGTCAACAATAAAATAAAACCTATTTTTCAGGTATATAAAAACAAAACAAAATGGAACACACAAAAAAAAAAAAAAAAAACGTATGAAATATTTTTATTCAATGTTGTTGTTACAACAACAACAACAACAACGCTAACTAATAGTTTTTTTTTTTTTTTTTTTTTTTGTAATCCCCTTGAAAAAAAAAAAACAAAACCAAGTTCGAAAAAAAAAAAATAACCAAAATGGAGGAATTTAATATTTAATAATCTACCTAAAAAAAAAAAAAAAAGTTCTTATGATCGTTTGTACGACGTTCGATATAACAACCAAATTATTTTATATAAAAAAAAAATCGAAAAACAAATTTTTTTTTAATTTTCCAACGACAGAAAGAAAAACTCGCGGTAATAATAATAATAATAAAGATGACGTCAAAAAATTTACTCTTACTCGAACAAACAAAATTACATCAAACATATATCGTAAGGGTATGCGTGTGCTCGTGAAACAAACTTAAACATTTGAGGAAAACTACGGTTGTTTTGACTTTTAAACGTAAGAGAAGAGGCCAGCCACACAATAATAAATGTCACATTTTTTTTTTCAAACCTGATTTTGGTATGTGACACGATTTTTATATATAATTCACAACTTGCATCGTAAACACGACGACAAAAAACAAAAAATAATAATAATAATAATAATAATATTAATTCAACGAATATTTGTTTTGTTTTGGGAGGGGGAACCCTAAAGAACCGATGAAATGTTTTGTGTTGATAAATGATTGTAAACAAATTACATTTATGATGATATGACTGATTACATGAAAAAAAAAAAAAAAAAACAACCATCGATTGTAAATCTGACAATACAAAACGTGTCGCACTACACACACACACGCGCGCACACACGCACACGCACGCACAATACACACGTGGTGGTGGTGGCTAATATAAACCCAATTACGCATAAAAATGACGTACAAATTATACGCTAACGATTTTTTTTTTTTTTTAAATTTAATCTTTCTATTTTAAAAACCCTTTACACGACGACATTTTTAAATTTAAATAATTTTATATTTAAAAAAATTATTATTATTATTATTATTATTTCGGTTTCTAACGAGAAATCATTTACTCTAACAAATAAGAGAGAGAGAGAGAGAGAGAGAAACGAAAAAATCACATATATACGATTCAATACGATTTCAATAATAAATATTAAATAAAAAAAAAAAAAAAAAACATTAAATTAATTTTTTTTTTCTCTCTCTCTCTCTCTCACTCACTCTTTCTAATACCTTATAAACAATAATTTATTCTCGAATGTGTTTAGTAGTAGTAGTAGTAGTAGTAGTAGTAGTAACCCTAGTAGTAATTTAAATCGAAATAAAAACCTTTCGAAAAGCAGTTAAAAAAGACTTTAAAAAAATACAAGTTTTTTTTTTTTTTTTTTGTAACAAAGTTTTCCCGATGATGCAAAAGACCTGTTTTAACTCTTTAAAAAAAAATTCTTATAAATTTTTAATTCTAATAATGGTAAAAAACGACAGTAGGTACCTATCAGGTATGTGTTGTGTTACTTTGTAATATTACCCCGGTCATTCAATGAATTGTCATTAAAATTGCTGTTGTAGTTATCATTATCCCCCCCCCCCATTGTACACATTGTAAAATATGGAGATAATTGTTATAATAAATTAATTCGTGACTGACAATGTGTGTGTGAGAGAGAGAGAGAGAGATTTAAAATTTAACCGTTTCGACAAAAATAAGATTTAATAATTAATTTCATGTTTAATGTACGCGAATGACCATTAACACGAATATAAAAACTTTTATAACGGATTTAATTTGCTACAATTATTACTTTTATCTTTAAACATTTATTAAGTGAAGTAGTAGTTTATTATTAACTACAAAGTGATCACTTCAAAATCAATCGTAAAAAATAGTTATTAGATAATTAATTAAATATATATATATAATAGTAAAATAGAAAACAAAAGCCGTGCCTATTAATAAGTTAATAATAAAGAAGGTACGTACTTGTTTATTTCCACCTCCCCCCTTCCCCCCACGTGTGTGTGGATACGAAAAAAACCCAAACCATGTTTTTTTTTACTTTTTTTTTTAGTTTCAAATCATTTAAATAAAAATTATTGAAAAATTTATAATACGTCATTACGAACAAGTAAATCAAATAAAAAAAATGAAAATTCAATCGTGAATTATTCTATAATAATAATAATAATAATAATAATATAATAATAAGTTTTTTTTTTTTTTTTATGGGAAAAAATTGATAATTTATTAACTTTTAGGCGTTAAGCGTTTTAAAAAAAAAAAAAATTATTTTTTTTTTTTTTCTTCTTATTTAATACCTTTTTCATGGGTAATTCAAAAATAATTGGTTGTAAAATTCGTTGAAATAATAAATAACATAAATAATTGTTTATTATCATTATCATTATTAAAATGTGATAAAAACTTTTTTCTTTTTTTTTTTTTATTATTATTTTTTCTAAATGAATTTAATTGGATATTATTATTATTATTATTTCTGAATAACTAGTTATTTCATGTGAATTTTTCCAATGTTATTAAATTTTGCAATTAATAAAATATTGTCGGATTTATGTCAAATTACTTATTCGTGAAAAGTTATAAAAACCAATATGTCTTCCTATCAAAGTCTTTGTTGTTTAACTATTGTTAGTTTAAGTATTTTGCAACACACTTAGCATGATTTAAATAAACCCATTTATCAATTATTATTAACCCTTAGTTGTTTTTTTATTTAATAATATGTATAATGGGGGTATTAGGTACTGAACTATTTCAATTAGGGCTAGAAATAATGAATGAATGATATTTAAATAAATAAAAATTGAAAAGAACTATAATAAATTTAGGTTTACCGTCGTGTACAGGTCGACACAAACCGCGTTTTTTTTAGTTTTGAAAACGTTTTAGTGTTTTTTTTTTTTAGACATTTGTAGTAATAAAGTGGCAATTGTCAAGTATTAAAAACATCATTTTGTTTTTGACTTTGATCATTATTAAGAAAATCCAATTTGTTATTTGAAAATTTTTTTTGAAATTCTTTTGCTTTTGATAAAGTTGCACAATTTTTTTTTTTTTTTTTTAACCGGAAAATTGTTAATACTTTAATGATTTTAAAAAAATCATCCACTTACTTGTGTCATAAAGCGATCGGCTCCTGTTCCTTCTTCGTCTTTAAATATAATATCTGAATTATAATTTGGTATTAAATCTCCAAAACGAGGATCGTCTCTCGTTATGGGACCTTCGGTTAATCCACTTGCTCCTAAAGTATTTTCCGATACATTTGGAACATGTTGCTTAAAAACTAATGGAGTTAGCTTATGTACTCCTCTTCGTCGACCAGCACCTCTCCCTGGTCCACATCCTGATGCTACATTTATTATAGATACTATTATTAACATCCTGAAACAGTAAATAACTTGTAAAAAAAAAATAGAATTAAATTTTTTTACAATTTTTTTTTTTTAAGAAATACAATGACAAATACATATTCTATACATTTATACTTTTGCTCAAGTTGAATCACTCTTACAATGATATTTGAAAATTTTAACTAGAATTAACAGTATATAGTTTAGAAGGGGAAATTTCATTTTGCAAGTAGAAGTTTTTGTAGCAAATATTAAAGCAAAATGAGTCCAAAATTAAAGCCATGAATTAATGCATTCATATAATTGTAAAAACAGCCAGTTTTTCTATACCATGAACAACTTTTATAGTAATAATAACATTAAAACCAACAAACACCAATTACAATATTATAGAACTTGGTCAAAAATGATTAAAAGTAACCATTCATAAAGCTAAGATTAAAAATGAAAATTCATTTTAAGAAATTCAGCAAGTGATGTTAAAATATCTCAAAAGATCCCAACTTTTAAATGAATTCTGAAGACATTATCTATTAATTTAATTATACAATGACTTGTACAAAGTAGCCATCAAAGATTGAACCAACAAATTATTATTTTTGTAACCAATGATATAAAATCTGAAAGTAAAGCAAAATGAAATTATTTCACTTGTTTTGCTCAAAAAGTTGAAAAATCTGTCGACGTTATATGACGGCAATAAAAGCATTTGAAAAAAATATCAAGAGAGTAATTATACAAAACAAGTTTAAGAATCCTAAAATTTTGTTTGACCTTATTATTGAGAAATACAAGAAATGTAAATCCATTAGAGATTCTTGTAGAAAATTTAGAGATGTATTTGCATGCTCACATTTTCTTCCAACAATGTATTGTTACAATAACACAGCAAAAAAAAGGTACAAAGTATAACCTTATTTTAACAAACGATGAAATAAATCCCTTGAGACGCCATATTTTTATTGCTGACCAGGTTGTAAATCAAATACCTAAAAATCCCTTGGGAAAAAAAAATGAAATCAAATCCCAACGGTGAAAAAGTTCAACGACAGTAATTATTCATTTTGAAAATGAATTCTCCGACTGTTTGTTTAATAAAATTTAACTTACAAAGAACAAAAATGTTTTTATTTAAATATTTTTTCAGTAAATACTTACAATCATAATTATTTTCAGGAAAATGTTACGCGCGAACTAAAATTTTTTAACAATCTATGTAGCCCAATTGAAGATTTCTGAATAACATTTTTCTGGGCCTTCTAAAATAAAATTTTTACCGCGTTAGTTCGTGAACCGCCCTCAGAAGAAGAAGCGTTAATTGTTTAAAATAACGGAAAAAGAATCAATAAATTATAAAAAAAACTCATTGTTGAATGAATAAATAAACAAATTATGACTGTGTCGACTTAAAGGCGGCTTGGATTTCCAACTTATGTATATTGTAAAGGTAAGAATGCATAATTAAAAAAAAAAAAATTTATTTACTTTTCGTTTTTTTTTTTCTCTCTCTCTCACCACGACCAATGTCAGACATTTTGAAATTTTAATAAATTCAGATTTTTTTTTAGGTTTCGATGAAATTATTTCAGAATTTATATTAACCCCGTAACAAACAAATTTTATGTAAGAGTAATTTTAATAATAAAAAAAAAAATTCAATTAATTATTTTTCCCCCTCCCCCTTTGCTATGTACAAAAATCTATAAACCGATTATCATATTAAAATTTTAAATAATTTCATATATGTTCAAAAAAAAAAAAAAAAATTAAAAAAATGACTTTTTATCTTTTTCAGAAAATATATCATGTTTAATATTATTAATAATAATAATAAGGTCACACATGATTGTAAGTAAATTTTATTATTTTCACTTTATAACATCCATTCATTATGGTTTTATAATTCTTATGGGTACACATTAATCAACATGTACTTTTACTGTCAAATTCAATTCTAAATAAAAAATAATAATAATAATAATAATAATAATAATCATTTACACTCATGTAAGAATTATGTTTTGTATAAAAAAGATTTAAAAAATAAGTATAAATTCTTTTTGATTTTTGTTATAATTGTAAAATTTTGTGTGAAAAAATTTCATTTTCACATTTTACACAATGCATTTTAATATTTCATTTACCCATATAAAAAAAAAAGATATTAAGGAAAAATTAATAAATTATAAAAATTGTTTTAATGGTTTGAATTAATAAAAGAAAAGGATTATTATTATTATTATTATTATTTAACTTATGATATTAACTAAACATTGAGTTGGAAATTAATCAAATACGTTTATAATATAAATGGTATCAATGATAGGTTGTAAATTTAATGATGTGTGAAGGCGAGTTTTATTAAACTGATAAAAAACTAATAAATGAACGTTGCTGTCTTTGCATTCCAACACAAAACTTATGGAGAGAGAGAGAGAAAAAAAATAGCTTATTATTCACTTTTCATTTTATTTATAAACGCTACCTTGTTTTTATGAAGTTAATTTAATTAAATTGAAAAAAATTTTAAAACCTTTGACTCATATACCCCGAATGAATAATACTATTGCACACACACACACACCGATGGATTTTATTAATATTGTGTCATGGAAAATCCTTTGTTGCCTAAAATCAAGTCAAATATTTTTAAAATGTGTTTTTTCTGTTAAGTGTGGTTTGTTTTTATAAAATAAAACATTTAAGAAAAGGGAAAATGAAAGTTTAATGAGGGAATTGTTAGGAAGAGAAAAGCATGAAAAGAAAAGTAGTTAAAACAAGGGGGGGGGGGGAAAAAAAAAGTTTTTTTAAAAAAAAAAAAAAACAAACGGTGTGAAAAATATTGGTCCGTTTCCCTCTTCCCCGTTTCCCTCTCCCCCAAAAAAAACAAACAAAGGTTTGAAAATAATGAATTAAATATATATAATAATAATTACTTGATTATAATTGACGGCCAAAATGGTTGATGGACCTTAAGGTCCGGACCGGGGCCGTTGAGTCCTAACCGTGGTTGAGAGGCCACCGAAAGCTTCATATCGGTCACCGTCCCGCGAATTTCCTCATCCCGATTCGGGATTCCTAAACTGTTTTTTTTTTTTTTTTTTTTTTTTTTAACTTTTTTTTTATCAACAATGCATTGACACAACACTTCACCAAATTAATTATAAATAATCACTTATTCTTATTACAAATTTTATATTTTATTCGTGGATAAAAAAAAATTAGGGAACAACAATGTAAAAATGTTATCGGTTAAAAATTAACGTACGATTTATGATAAATCCATTTAAAAAAAAAAACAAAAAAAAATTCCAAAATAATCCAGTAATGTAATTGTTATCCTTTTTAAAACAATAATAGTCACACTCACAAGCAGAAGATAGAAATTTCGGACCGAAATCCCCGTTTGTTTATTTTTTTAAAAAAAAAAAAAAACTTTAAACCACGAAACCTGATTGTTATTTTCGTATCGGACTAGAATTAAAAATTTTCTTTTTTATTATTATTATTAATTATTTAAAACGCGGATGCCGAAGAAAGATATTTTCATGCACTAACAATTAATTTGACCAATGGAGAGAGAAAAAAAAAAAAAAAAACCTCGAAAATTCATAGCTCGGTGCCCATGAATAGTAATAACCAAATACTCGTGCATAAGCTGGGCACGAACGTGGATCAAGACAAGAAAATCTATTGTTAAGGTTAGTTTTCATGAGCATCCAAAAGTGAAACACCAGCGAAACATCTCGGCACAAACCATTATAAACGGTTATGCGTATATAACATTAAAAAAAAAAAAAAAATTTTCTTCTTTTTTTATTAATTTTATACTTTTCCATTAGCTAAACATAGTATTCAAGTTTTTATTTAAAAATTAAGGTACACTAACAAGGTGCCTACTAAAAAAAAAAAATAAAATAAAATAAAACGCCTCACCTCCCCCTACTTCGAGTTTTTTTTATTAAAATCTAAGATATCCTCGACGGTAATGATATACGTATTGAAAAGTAAATCATTTTATAAATAAAAAAAAAAAAAAAGTTGAAAAAAATATTATTTTTAAAAGATAAATAAATATAATAAGCCAGTGAATGGTTATCTTTTGCCTCATAGGCTCCTGCTTTGTTATCTCTCATTCGAAAGTTCTAGAATTTGTCTGATAGAAATAGTAACGAGATTCAGGTTCATGAGAAAATTATATTTCGAAAAAAAAAAAAATTTGTACGCGAGAATGTTCGATATACGTTTTTCTCCATCGATAAATTTATTTTAAAAATATTCCAGGTTTTTTTTTTTTTGCTGATTAATCATTTTTTAAAATAATAATAATAATAATAATAATTTTTATCACGAAAGGTTAACCTTGGTTTAGGTTTTAAAAATCGGTCAGGCATTCGATTTCCGGTAACGAGAAAGAAACTCGAACTTTTTTTTTTCTTTCTTTTTCCACGTCCCGCGTAATTTAAAATCTTTGGCAAACCGATAGTAAACTATTTTTTTTTTTTGTTTCCAAGTTATGTGACTCCATATTGAAATGAATTTAATACGGGGAGTTTTAATGTTGTTTGGTCTTTAAAATGTGTAGAAAATAAATAATAATAATAATAATAATATATATAATAATAATAATATTTGAGTTTATTAAACTTTTTTATTGTTTTTAAATATTAAATGATAAATTTTAAAAATAAATATGTTTATCGAAAGAAAAACGTTACTCCAGTTTCATTGAGAATTATTATTATCATTATTATTATTATTATTATTATCATTTCGAATGAAAAAAAAAAAAAAAAAATTAGTCACGTTTTTAAAAAGGATCTCGTTGCAAAAAAAAAAAAAATTTTTTTTTAGTTTTTTAATTGACTCGATCGTGATTTGATAAAAAAATGTCCAGGGAAAAATTGATAAGAATCCATCGGTTAAATATTACCTATAAATGGCGTGTGCGTGTTACTTACACACCATCACCACCGCTACCACTACCACTACCACCATAACCACCACCACCACCACCTCAACCACCATCC